TCCATAGGATATCCTCATAAGTTCTTTAAGTTGTGGCTGATTGACCTCTCATTTGATGGCAATTGCAAAGGTTAGGCTTGCTTGGGTTCTAGGAATTGGGACTGCTATAGGATGCTATATTATCTGACCACTCGTATAGAGGCTACCGTTGCAGTACATTGCTTTTGATACAATTGATTTGTGTGATATACAGTGAAGGAAATAAGTATTTAAAGCAATTTTAGCATGAGTTTTTCTGCCAGAATGTTTTACACTGTGATCAGTAGCAGAGATGTTTTAGATTTTAATAGCCCTCTTTTTTGAGGTTACCCATTAACAAGATTAGGTGAAATACATGCCAAAAAAGGTCACACATATGTATATGAAACAAGAAATGAGATTTCTATTGATTGATTTTTTTTTTCTCTCTCTCTGGTAACCTATATAAACAAAAGCTTGTTCGCATAAGAAATCTTTTGTAGGTGGAATTTTTCCATAGATCTCGTTTGTCTGGGTTCCGATTTCAGAGGTTATTTGAATTGTCTTGAATGTATGTTTTATTAATCTTTTGTCATATCTTCTTTAACCACTTCCTGTCTGCCCTATAGCAGAAGTATTGCTACAGGGTGGCAAGGGTGTGCAAAATCACCTATATATACGTGATTTTGCATTTCCGTGGGGAGGGGGGGCCTGCGCAAGCTCCTTAGCTACGCCGCCATTCGTGGCCTTGGCCTTGGCTGTCATCTGGTGGTTACTCACCAGCGCCCGGTGATTGCATAGCATCTCCAACTGGGGGGAAGGAACGAGAGAACTGTTTGCTCCCGTCAGCTCCTGCGCTTTGCTTTACATGGCTGTGCACAGCCATGCAGTGTGCTTACAGTGAAGCACAAACACAGCCCAGTATGCAAAACGGTACAGTTAACCCTTTGATCGCCCCACATGTTGACTCCTTCCTGCCCAGTGCCATTAGTACATTGTCAGTGCTTTTATTAGCACTGATCACTATATTGGTGTCACTGGGGATGTCAGTGACACCAAGTCAGTTTCCCCCCCAGTCTCAGAATGCCCGCCGCAGTCCCGCTATAAGTTGCTGATCACCGTCATTGCTAGTAAAAATAAAAATACCAGTGTGTATATATACTGCCATTTGTAAATGCTACAACTTTCACGTAAACCAATTAATTTACATGTATTGGGGTTTTTTTTGGGGCTTTTTAAAGCAAAGACATGTAGCAGAATACATTTTGGCCTAACTTTTTGATGAATTGTTTTTTTTTTTTTTTAATTTTTTACTGCACGTGTTTAATAGCAAAAAGTAATAAAGAAATTTTTTTTCTCAAAATTGTCTTTTTTGTTTTTATAGTGCAAAAAATAAACGCATAAGCAATCAAATACCACCGTAAGAAAGCTGTATTTGCGGGGAAAAAAAAGGACGCAAATTTCATTTGGGTGCAGCATTGCATGCATGACCGCTCAATTGTCAGTTAAAATAATGCAACGCCTTAATGGAAAAAATGGCCTCAGGCAAGGGGGGTAAATCCTCTAGAGGGCAAATGGTTAAAGAATGAATTCACCTTTCATAACATGTTTCATAACAGCCCGGCCCCTGCTTTTGACAGCTAGCGGGGGGATCTTCTCCCTTCTCGATAGCTGTCAAATTTTTTTAAAAACTGTGGCTGTGCGGTGCTCTGGCCGCGTCACTTATTCACTGTCTTATGTTAATGAGAAACTACAAGTTCCGACAGCCTTAGCGGTTGGTGGCTTGTAGTTCTCAAGGAGCTACTACAGCGCTGTGTGGAGCGCCGTGGTAGTTCATGGAGTCTCTTGTCAGTATATCTGCTTTCCTGTACGGGCAAGCAGATATGCTAACAGATCTGCAGGAGAGCTGCATGGCACCAAAGATCTGCTGATTGCTGGTGCAAAGGTTTACAGGCTCCTGCAACAAAAAAATGCATGTTTTTTAATTAAATTTTTACTTAAATTAGCATTTATTATTTTTTGTATAAAGATGAACTTATTTAAAGTAGAACTAAAAAAAAACTTTTTTTTTTTTTTTTGATTCAGGATAAAATGGAGAGGGATTAGAACACTGGTAAGGTTTTTATTGCTGTCTGTGCCTTGGGAAGATTAACAGTGTTTACTGTTGTTGCCAAAAGTAAAACTAAAAATCCAAATTTTGGATTGTCACCAGTACAGAAATAGAGGGTGACAACCAGGAATTCTCACTTTAGAGGGATTTTCTCACTATTTGTTTTGGCTATCGGGAAGGAAGCAAAGAGAATGCAGATAACAAAAGAAAAAACAAAAAAAAACCCAATGGGGGTTAGAACTTTCCCTTACATTTATCCAAAATGGGGAAAAAGCTTTTGCTTATAGTTCCACTTAAAATCTTTTAGCAAACGAACCTTTAACCACTTGAGCACCTGAGGATTTACCCCCCCTTAATGACCAGGCCTTTTTTTGCTGTTTGGCGCTGCACTAATTCAAATGATTGCGCGGTCATGCAATGCTGTACCCAAACGAAATTTACGTCCTTTTTTTCACACAAATAGAGATTTCTTTTGGTGGTATTTGATCACCTGTGCGCTTTTTATTTTTTGCGCTATAAACAAAAAAAACCACGAAAATTTTGAAAAAAAAACAATATTTTTCTACTTTCAGCTATAAAAAATATATTGTAAACTCAAAGTTAGTCATAAATTTAGGCCAAAATGTATTCTGCTACATGTTTTTGGTAAAAAAAAAATCCCGTGCATTAGCGGGCAAACTGGAGCTATCTAAATGTAAATCTGTTGGGGTTTAGTTTTACTTTTTATCAGTTCTCGTTATTCATAAATTGTACATATGGCAGTGGTCCAAGTACCAATCAGATCTTCCTCGGATGCTCTATGGGTACTTTAAAAACCAACGAAATTTTGACAACAAAACAGAACACAATAAAAAGTATAGAAACACAAAACTACTAAAAGCAAAGGAAATCAGCTCATACAGATCCCCAAATCCTATTGGCAAGGGGCACAAGATGAATGTTTAATGTCCAATGTCATAAGTGCTATATGAGTGCATATAGCACTAGGGTAAGCTCGTCTAGCTGTAGCAGGCTCTGTGTGAAAATAAGGAGAAAAAAAGCGCCTCTAAGTGCAGTATGTAAAGATATTTATTGGGAAGCAATGTAAAAGCACTCACATTGTATAAAAATTAGGAAGGCTCAGGTAAATAGAGTGTAAGCCGAGTCCTCGCTGCACTGGCCGTGTCCGCACTACATGAGACTATGGACATCACAGAGAAGCCAGCCGGCATGTGAAGTCTCTGAAGATGGCATCTGGAATGCACCTTGGAGCGCAGCGTAGGCAACAGCGTGATGACGTATGGGAGACCAGCATGCAAAGTGACGCGTTTTGGAGCATGTGCCAAATCACTAAGGGCGGAAGCACACTCCCTTCTCCAGCTGAAGACGGAGACCTTAGCCGCGTGTGTGTAAAAAAGCAAAATAGTTAAAAATAAATTTTAAAAAATTCACCCCTATCCCTGTTTTATAATCCTATACCCACAGTTGATCCAGAGGAAGGTAAAAAAAAACCCCAGCAAAGCATGATCCAATTTTGCTCCTGCAGGGGGAAAAATATCCCTTCCTGATCCCCCTGAGAGGCAATCAAATATTCCCTGGATCAACTTTACCTATAAATGTTAGTATCCAGTTATATTATGTGTATCTAGGAAAGAATCCAGGCTTTTTTTTTTTTTTTAGCAATCCACTGAGCTGGCCAGAACCAAGTCTTGAGGGAGTCTATTCCACATTTTCACTGCTCTTACTGTGAAGAGGCCTTTCCATATTTGGAGATTAAATCTTTTCCACCAGATGTAAAGAGTGCCCCCTTGTCTAGTCCTCTGTGATGACCTCAGGGTGAATAACTCTACACCGAGTTCACTATATGAACCACTGATGTATTTATACACGTTGTTCTTATTCCCTCCCCCCCTTAATTGCCTCTGCCTCTTCTGACATGCTATGGTTTGCCTAGTTGCCATAATGAAAAACTCAAATCGGTATCCTAATTTTGCGTGGGATCTCTCGTAGCGGTTTATGAAGGAGGGCTTTGCTCGGGTTTTCCTGCAGGTTGACTTATGTGATCGAGCGGTTCAAATTATATACCCTAATCTACAAGCGGTAGGCCGTTGGGCAGGACCACCAAATATGAAACCTTGTTCCTGTGTTCGCGCATCCTATGCTGGGTAAAAACACTGCATGAATTTTCCAGGAGTATTTTGACGCAGCCTGCCAGGTTGGTGTCCAGTCCTCCCAATGATAAATATTCTTTAAGGTAAGAGACCATTGAGCATAGTAAGAAGGCAATACCTCTGTTAGATGGTCATGAATGGACCCATAAATTGGAGACAGGTTGCTTTTATTGGTTGCAGAGGATCTACTTATTGATTCAAATCTTGTAAGCGTCTTTGGAGAGGCAAGGTTTCTCACCAAGGGTTCAATAAAATGATGAAGCGGAAGATACAGAAAGAGTTCAGTAGAGGGGATATGTTGGTTATCACGAAATTGAGCAAATGTTAGTAACCCTTTCACTGTCAGCATTGAATGAACTGTCAAGACCATGGGAAATCCACGAAAAGAAAGACGCATAACCTAGAACAGGATGCTTTTTCATACAAGTACATGGTACAGCAGGCACATATCAGAAATATAAAATGTTGGGTTAGCATATTTTTAAAAGTTGGCTAGAGGTTCATTTTAAAGTTCCAGATAGAATAGGGAAGATCTAGAATCTGTGGTAAAACTTTATAGCAAGATATTTTCTGTGTGACAATTTTAGACTAGAGTCAAGTAACCTACCAGCAAGTCTTTAGAGTATTTGCAGTACATTCCTGTAGACAGGAAGTAAACACAAAAAAAAAAATAGCTGGAAACCATATTTTTGATATAGGAAATGATCATTTTCAAGACTGGTTGGTTTTATTTACGGCCTAATCCTAATCTAAAATTTGTACTTTTTTTTAGGTTGTCAAAGATGAACAAACTTCGTCAGAGTTTTCGGCGGAAGAAAGATGTGTATGTTCCAGAGGCTAGTCGACCCCATCAGTGGCAAACAGACGAAGAATCTGTCAGGATTGGAAAGTGTAGCTTTCAGGTCAAGGTAATTGTACTATGTTAAAATGTATTTATTTTCTTGGTAGATTGATACAGTTTGTGCATTTTATATACTTTCCTATTTTACTTACATTCAGTCACAGGAGAATGCTTCTAACCGAAACATGTTTGGCAGTTGACTGTTTTGCTGTTTGTTTACTTCTAATGGGTTCACTATACAATCTGTCTTGCAACCACTTATATCCCACTGTTTGTAGTTTGCCCTGTTGAAATGCAAATGAATATGAATATTACTTCTTTTTCTGCATTGAATATGTACTAAAGATACCTGTCCAGTCAAAAGTTAAATTTGGCATGAATGTGTATTCAAGGCATAAAGTCTTCTTACTTTAGTTTTAGACACGTGTGCTGCATACAGAATTTTTAGAAATGAGAAGATAAAATGCACTACACAGCGATTTGTAACAGCTGCCCAAATATTTTGTGGAAGCTTTTCTTGACTTTAAAGAAAAACATGACATTTTAATATCTTAATTGTATGTTACAGGGACACAGGTATGGGTTATGGGCTCGTACCATCAACACACATCCACCACCTCCTGCTCTCAGGGGCTCAGATCAATCAACTAAATTGCTAATGTTCATCCAACACTGATCAAAGGTTGTGCATCTCTAACACAAAGCCAGGGAAGCTTGATATAGACTGCAGTAGAGAACAAAAGAAAAGAGTGCAGAAAACCTTGCGCATTACCTCAGTAAACGGTTCATGAATTTATTGATAAATTATACTCACAAGAGTAGCAGTAAAAAAGGCATACAACATCCAAAACCAACACAGGGTTAGACACGTGTGAGTTCCAGAAGGGAGATAAACTCTTGGTCAAGCTGATTCCTTTCGAAGGGTGGTACCTTCTTCCTCTGAGCTTAAAAGGTCTACAAATGAGGACCTGTATTGCTGGTAGAAATAATCTATTTTCAGTTCAATTACTGTTCACAGGAGGCATTTTACCACTATGTGTCAGGGTTTGTCAGTTTTGCCAACCTTCAGGTGACTGTACACTGGCAAAGCACTTGAGGACAACCACCTATTTCAGTAAACCTCAGTGTTTTCAGAAGCAGTGTATCTAGATCAGTAAAACGCTGGGATCCCTACCTAGATGCCACGCTTTGGCGGTGGCCCGCAATGTTGCCTTAGGCACTGGATCCTGCATGGGTGCTCACCTTTGCACAGTACAATAAGACAAGTTAGCCGCAGGGTGCTATACAAGTCCAGGGTTGTGATCTACCACAATGGAACTCGGTCCCTGAAGACCACTTCAGGGGTATGTCCACCATGATGGGCGTAGCCTGGTCACTTTTACAGGCACCAGCAGTGTAGATGGGTAAGACCAGTTTGCCCTGTATTCTGACTCACTGTCATAACTGATACTGTATGTTTGGAAAATTTACACAGCTGTGAAACTCTGTGCATTCCAAACTTGGCCCTAAAACCCAACCACTTAGAGTGCAGCCTCTGAAAGATGACTGAGAATTGCATCATACCACCAGTCATGAGCTTTGCCACCTTCCCACCTACAATCTTGATAAGGCAGATAGACCATCCCATATTGAACTTTATGAAAAAGAGGGAGGAAGGAGTGCCTAGGATCAAGTTGTAACTTTATCCTATATTTTACACCCTAATTCATGAAAACCCCACAGGAAAATGGAAAAACCCTCACTTTTAGCAGTATGGTGGAATCCAAGAATAAGGAAGCAGTGACAAAGGCTAATTGGGGGGTGGTAAAACTGTAACTCAACCACAGGGTTTTAAAACACCCCCCTAACTTTACATGTGAACAAGCCCTAAGGGTGCTGCTTCCAAATGTAACTAAGGGCTCATTCACAAGTGCAGCAGGCACTGCTTCTCCGAAAAGCGAACTGATATGTTGCCTCCTCAACAATCTATTTAAACACATGATTGCTGTTCAGTGAAAATGATTTCAACACAGTAGTACAGCAATTGGAGGTTTAAATCAGGTATGGGAAAGCAACACTGATGGACAATATGCCTGGTGATCTTTGACTTCTCCCATGTTGTTCAAGTAGATCTCCACCTCTTAAAGGTTGTCTACCCCTGATTTAGTTTAATATGTCAAGTTTAAAAAAAAAAGACAATTTGTTCTTAAATATCTATATGCAGTGGTAGATATAAATAACCAGCTATATGGATCGGGAACAAAGTATATAATCTACTCTGGGAATAACAGACAGAAGAGAGAGATATAGATAGATATAGACACACACACTTACAGACTCACACACACACTCACACTCTTAGAGATTGGATATGGCACATAGCTTCAGACTCTGAGATCAAAATTTTTATCTAAAGAAAAAAAAAATTAAAGGCCTAAAACGCTGTTTTGACGATTTTTAGACAGGATTGTAATATAAAATTATGCATGACAGACTCCCTTGTCAAAGGCAGGTAGCTTGATAGGCAGGTTGCTTGATGCACCTGCTGTCACTAAGACATTTAGGGGTTTACCAATCAGCTTCCAGGTTTTATTGCCAAACTTTAATTGAACAAGCTGTGGTTAGAAGCAGGTTGGTTTCTGTGCAGAAGTGAGCCTGATTTTGTGCTCTCCAGCTTTAGTATATAAACCCCTTAGTAGCAGAAGTATACTTTGTATCACCTGTCATAATGAGGTTCATAAACAAAAATTAGCCCTTTTACCAAAACATATTCAAGCTATAGTTCTATAATGGATATGGGCTGAAAGTGCGCACTCTCAGGTTTATTTTGAGGGTATGTACATCCAAATTGGAAGAAGGGTTTAGGAATTACAGCTCTTAAGAATAGCCATCCCCCTTTTTCAAGGGACCAAAAGTAATTGGACAATTGAATTAAAAGCTGTTTCATGACCAGGTATGGGCTACTCCTTCGTTATTTCTTCATCAATTAAGCAGGTAAAAGGTCTGGAGTTGATTCTTAATGTGGTATTTGCATTTGGAATCTATTGCTGTGAACCTACATCATGCATTCAAAGGAGCTGTCCATGCACGTGAAACAGGCCATTGTAAGGCTTCAAAAATTAAACCAATCCATCAGAGAGATAGCAGCAACATTAGGAGTGGCCAAATCAACAGTTTGGTTCATTCTGAGGAAAACAGAAGGCACTAGTGAGCTTGGCAACATAAAAAGGCATGGACGTCCACGGAAGACAACAGTGGTGGATGATCGCAGGACCCTCTCTATGGTAAAGAAAAACCCATTCACAACATCCAGACAAGTGAAGGACACTCTCCAGGAGGTGGGTGTATCATTGTCAAAGTCTACAATCAAGAGAAGACTTCACGAGAGCAAATACAAAGGGTTCACCACAAGGTGCAAACCGTTAATAAGCCTGAAGAATAGAAAAGCCAGATTAGACTTTGAAAAAACATCTTAAAAAGCCAGACCAGTTCTGGAAAAGCATTCTTTGGATGGATGATACTAAGATTAAGCTGTACCAGAATGATGGGAAGAAAAAAGTGTGGTGAAGGCTTGGAACAACTCATGACCCAAAGCACACAACGTCATCTGTAAAACATGGTATGAGGCAGTGTGATGGCATGGGCATGCATGGCTGCCAGTGGCACTGGGTCATTGGTATTTATTTATGATGTGACAGAAGCAGGCAGATGAATTCTGGTGTGTTTATAGAGATACTGTCATCCCAGATTCAGCCAAATGCAGCAAAGTTGATTGGACGACGCTTCAAAGTGCAGATGGACAATGATCCAAAAACACTCTCCAAAAGCAACCCAGGAGCTTTTGAAGGAAAAGAAGTGGAATATTCTGCAATGGCCAAGTCCATCACCTGATCTAAATTCAACTAAACATGCATTTCACTTGGTGAAGGCAAAACTAAAGGCAGAAAGACCCACAAACAAAGAACTGAAGACAGCTACAGTTAGAGCCTGGCAAAGCATCAGAAAGGAGGAAACCCAGTCTTTGGTAATGTCCATGGGTTCCAGACTTCAGGCAGCCATTGCCAGTAAAGGATTCTGAACAAAATATTAAATTTATTTATGATCGTATTAATTTGTCCAATTACTTTTGAACCCATGAAAATGGAGGGACGGTGTACAAAAATGGTTGCAGTCCTAGTCGTAAACATGTCCATTGGTTGGGAACAGTGTGAAGCTTGATTCATTGGACCACCTTAGTCTTCCATTGATCATTAGTCCACGATTTATGGGTGTTGCACCACTCTCTCCTCTTCTGAGCAGTATTATTGGTCACTAGTGGTTTGGCAGTTGCAGCTCGCCTGTGAATGTTTTGCTTATGGAGTTCCCTCCCCACAGTTTTTGTGGACACGGGCTTTGGAAGACTGAGATTTAAGCTCTGCAGTCACTTTTGCAGCAGTTGTTTTCTTATTCTGGGTCACAATCCTGCACAATGTCCTTTTTGTCTTTTTCGGTCAGTTGACCATGTCGACCGCGCTTATGCTTATCAGATGACGTTTTCCTGCAAGCTGTATATGCCGTCATAACCTTTGATACTCGTGACACTGCAAATATATTGACAACTTCAGTCACCGAGGTACCAGCTAAGCAGTTACCAACAATTTTCCCTCTTTGAAACTTGGTAAGCTCTGACCTTACTCCGTGTTACTAGCAGCACATGCACTGAATGATGAAAGTGAGGCTTCCCACCTGTTAGCGAAGTGTCATCACACAGAGGAAGCAGAAGAATGTTACCTCACTTCCACGAAACATGCGTTAACTTTCACACCTACCAGATCATGTAATGTTTCCATTTTTTTGTCCAACTCCTGTATCTTTCCCCTTGTCCGCGCTTCAGATGGTGAAAAAAATTAAAAGCAAAATAAAATGTGAAAAAAACTCCCCAAAAATTACTGCTGCCACTTCTAATGCCTCTTTAAACAAATATAAAGTAATCGACCAATATAGTGCTCCAATCACTAATAGCGCTGTGAAAAAAACACATACACAACTAAACAATATAAATAAATTATGTATGTATGGATAGATAGAGAGACACTCAAAGTGTGTGGTGGTGGGAATGTTTTTAAACAAAGCGCAAGAGTCCTGTGCTATCAGAGTGCTCCTATAGCAAGCCACAACATATAGTATATAGCGCCTATATCAAGGTAAAAATAGCTTCTACCTTTTTAAAATTGCTTTTGAATCACTTTCTTCTCCTACCCAGGATTACATGTCCCATGAGACATTGCTTTTCACACATTCACAAGCTCCCAGTGTGTGCTGCACTGTGTATACTGACATGTATGAACAGTCTACTGAGCTATCTGTGTGCTGCACTGTGTATACTGACATAAACAAATAATGCATTCTTTATGCAGGCCAACTAAGCAGGTGACCAATTATTTAATAATGAAAATAGTTGACAACTAATTTTATAATCGGTTATGTTGATTAGTTATTTCAGCCCTAGAACAGTCTATGAAGATTGATACAATCAGGAAAGATTTTCCCTCCTCCAAAGATCCTCACAGAAAACTGTCCTATGGAAACTGTTTCCCTTGAAATGCACAATGCCAATAGTTGATTCACTCGTCTTTTATATTTGTATAAACATCTCACAATTTCACCCAAAGGTATCCTTACTTTTAGGGGACCTATACATAGAAAATTTGAAACTCTCATGAGAGCTCTTTTAACCATTTGCCGCCCGCCTATGGCTGAATGGCGACCGGCAAATGTCATCAGCGTTCCGGGTGGACGCCATATGGCGTCCGCCCGCACATGCGCAGATTGCACTCCTGCAGAGCCGCTCAGTGGCGCGATCTGTCACCGGCCGTATACCTCGGACACGGCCAATGACAGATCTGAGTATCGGCCCCCGTTGCCGGTACCATGTGACCTGCTGTGACCAATCACTTAACTGTGTTGACTCTTGACAGGTGGTCATCGCACAAATTTCCAGCACGCACATATGTTTATTAGCCTAAAGCCTGTTTGGCTACAGTTGCATATAAAATATACCTCATATGTTTATTCTTTGAGGGAGGTCATCTTTTTGGTGAAGCTTTTGAAAACCAAAAGATGTTGCTGAAAAAAGAGGAATTCCTGCAAAGAGGACCCTCCCAAAGATCCCAGATCTCTACCTTCTCTAAAGGATATTGTACAGAAATTTTACGATAAAACTGTATAATGTATGGGCAGCTTTAGATTTCCTTTCCACTATATAGTGCAAGGGCCTGTCTGATTGGATACAGGCTGTTGTTATTATTATAAATACAGGATTTATTTAGCGCCAACCGTTTGCGCATCCCTTTACAAAACAATGTCCGACATTAGTTACAATACAATTTGGTACAATAGGAATCAGAAAATTTAAAGTGTTTAGGTTTGACCCTATATTATATGGATTTTGGTAAATCTAAAGGGAAAATGTACAAGAAACAGCTAATGAGGCCGATTGGCCAATATTCACACCTTTTAGTGGGGCCAGCCCGTCGGCTGTTTTTCACGGATCTTCTTGTTTATTTTTATCAGTCATGATGGAAAATCAACGAAAAACAGGTGTTTTTCGTAGACATTGGTGGGAGCATCAGAAACGGTCAATTTTTCGTTTATCGGCCGTTTATATAAACTGCCCGTCTATGGCCTGCATAAAGCGTAGAGTACTTATTGTTTCCATTGTAAAGGTCTGATCAAGATAAACCGCTAGTCTTTTGTCTAAAAAGAATGGGTAAAAGACTCTCAATGCCTCCCTCTTTCTGAGGGCCATTCCTTACTCTTATGCAGGCCATAGATGGGACGTTTGTCGGCCGATAAATGAAAAATCGGTCATTGCTGCCACCAATGTGTAGATTTTCCAGCATGACTGAGAAACGAGAAGAACCGCAAAAAGTTTTCAGCAAAGGCTCAGAATATTATGTTGAATTGCATCTCTACTTCCTCATTTTTTTTTTTTTTTCTTTTTTTCACCACCTTCTGATCTGACAGAACAGTCAGGATCACATAACGCCACGTCCAATAGTCTAATTGTAGAGATTAGTTCAAGTCTAGTTGGCTACTTCTATAGCTGGAGTAACCTCCCTAGAGTTTTGCAGTTTCCTCACTCTCCAGAAACTCATGCAAGTTTCTTAATGCAGGTGGAATTCTCTACCCATATAAAAAAAAAAAATCTGATTTCTTTAGGGAGAGTCTGCTTTTTCTTCATACCCACATTTTTCTGGATGGTTCCACATAATTATACCAGTAATTGAGGCATTCGTTCATTAATGAGACCCAACGGTTTTTCTTGATTTCACATGGAATCACCGAGGTTTAGATTTTCCTTACCTGGATTAGTGTTTATAGAAGGCAGATCAGAGACACTAATCCCTTCCAGACATAAGGGATCGCCCTTGGGGTTCTGAACTAACACTTGATGGAGTGTACAGTTAGGTTCCTGATCTTGGTCTTTGTTTTGCCTTCAGCAGGGAAATTTGCTGTTATCCCTGAAATATTGAATTTAGCCATAGGATGGAGTCCAGAATAAATTTTGTTTTTTTCAGAAACCAGAAATTGTTTAGTTAATAAAAGCACCCATCCTTCATTCTAAGAAAAGGAAACGGGTGAGTCCTGGGAGCTCAGACTCCATCTTAAGAACTGAGAGAGGAAAACTATTATACCTGCAGCACGTGATGTGGGCTAAAGTCGCATCGCAGCTGCACTGCATTGATGTGAATGTACTCCTTTGAAACCAGTGTTCATTCCATTGTCAACTCAAGTTACATCAGAAAGCACATTAGTATGGATCAGGCCTAAAGAATTATGGCATTTTTTTTACACACCTTTTTGTGTACAGACATCTACAGGTCTGTATGTATGTAAACACAAGCATTATACAGACAACAGGTTTTCAGTTTTTTAATAGGATGTTTCTGCCAGCATGATCTGGCATAACTACATCAGTTCTGTGTGCATAGAGCCCACATCACTTTTACATAAAAGCTCTGACCCAGCAGCACAAAACAGAAACCAATTCACAGCTTCAGTAGCAGACACATCCAAAGAGCTTAAGTACTTGAAGCGATTCTAAAGGTTCTTTATTTTCCAAAAAAAAAAAAGTTTATACTTGCCTGCTGTGTGCAGTGGTTTTGCACGGAGCAACTTGGGTCCCCCGCAGACTCTCCTGGCCCCCCCCTTCTGTCGGGTGCCCCCACAGCAAGCTTCTTGCAATAGGGGCACCCACTGCTCCGTGTGTCCATTTACACACGGAGCTGCAGGTTGGCCCTGCCCCCTCTCTTCTCATTGGTTGACTGGATGTGATTGACAGCAGCATGAGCCAATGGCTCCTGCTTGCTGTCTCAGCCAATGAGTAGGCAGAGACCCGGGACAGCTGAGGCTGTTGTTCACATTGCTGTATTGCGATGAGGCTCGGGTAAGTATTGAGGGGACTGGGGGCACTGCTGCAGGCAGGTTTTTTACCTTCATGCATAGAATGCATGAAGGTAAAAAAAAACCTTGAGTCTTTACAACCACTTTAAAGCATATGTATATGGGGGAAACCTTTTTAAAATGCAGTTCTTCGCTTCAGTAAATTTAACTTTTCCCACGTTTTTATCTCTTTTAAAAAAAAAAATACCTTTTTGTTTTGCCAGAAATGCAGTCTGCTCCTAATTCTGTCTTGTGGAGTTTTGCCACATGGCTTTTTGTGGACAGACATTGCAAGATTTGGTTTCAGACCTGCCCACTTGTCTTTTGCTTAAGTACTGAATCCCTCCCTTTTTCATCGTACCATTGGGGTGAATTGTGATTTTGAGTGGTGAAAGTAGCCACTTCCCACCACGTGACTAGTCAGAATCTTGCTATGATCTGTTCTGGAAGCCTTAAAAGAGAAGTATGGGGTTTGGTTCCCCCCCAAATTATACTTGCCTATGTATAGGCAGCATCGGTCCCCTGTTGACTCTAAGTGTGAGAACTCAGTGAACACAGTCGGCGACTGCTGAACGTGGAGTTCTCACAAGTGCTCTGAGCAGATAGTGGGGACTGTAAGTCATCGCTGTCTGCTATGCCTCCCCCCAGTGCTCACTAGAATGATTGGCTGTGGAGGGGGAGGGAGCGGCTGGCTTCCCGCTCTCAGCAGATCAGTGAAGCTGAGGCAGATGCTGCTGCAGACTCTGGGGTGGATCCTGACTTTTAAAGTTGGCATCTTTCCCCAGCCTGGATTGGCTGAGTGATGTCAGCTGACAGCGGGCTTCAGCCTGCTCTCAGATGAATACGGGTCACAGGAGCGCAGAACGAACATAGCAGAAGTACAGCCAAAAGAGCTTTGGCTGTACTTCTTTTGACGAAAGAAGAGTGACACCTAATTACCCTTGAAAGTCAGTGCAATGAGGACTGTGGGTGTGGGGAGGGTGTAGCGTGTAAATTCACCTTTTTTTTTTATTTGTTGTGAAAAGGTGAACTTACACTTTTAAATGTAAATGAAACGTGAAGTTAGATTTAACAAACAAAAGATAGCAAAAAGTTAATTTAGGGTCTACATACACTTTAAAGCTAAACTAAATTAATTTACACAGAGGTGATTAGTTTCAGACATTAACCATACTTTTTCTTCTTTTTAGTACCTAGGACATGTGGAAGTAGATGAATCTCGGGGCATGCATATTTGTGAAGATGCAGTAAAAAGATTAAAATCGGTATGTATTTTTGTGTTTTACATTGGTTAATCTGCAGCTTTATTTTATTTGTTTAAATGTATCTGGCTGATATGTTTCAGTCAACCGTTACATTTTCTATACTTCGGCAGCTAGCATGTGATAAGCAAACCACCCTAATTCTTGTATCTAACGTGATTCGGCTTTCATGGTAAAGCAGCACAAATGCAGTAATGATGTGTAAAATGTTTTAATCCCTAGTACCCAATAAACTTAAGGTGGTTGCAGTCCTTTTTTAAAGATAGATTCTAATAGTTCCTGTGTCTTACTGGAGTTTTGTAGTGTTCCTTGTCTATAATACATAAAGACAAATATAGGACTAGAATTTTGAATAGAATAGGAATTTCTAAATTTATATGTCTCTTAACAGACGATAAAGAAAATTGTCAGACATTTGGATTATACTGTCTCCAACAGGAGGTTGGGACACCAACAAGCCAAAAAACTTTAACCAGGCCTCATATTACACCACTTCCAACAGTGATGACACGCTTTTTTGCTTTTGTCCTAGGAGGATGGATACATTTTCTTCAGTTCTGTGGAAATTGAGTTTACCGAAAATATTTTTTTTTTGCTGGCCTATTTATTCTTATTTTTTAATCAATGCTGATATTTCTTCAATGACTTCAATTAAGTCTCCAAAAATGTTGCTTAAACTGGTCTCTTCACAGCTGCTATATGGATCACTGTATCTTCGGCAATAGCTTTGGAGGCCATACCTGGACCCCACTTAACTGGAAGATTGTGGGGCTAGCATGAAATGTCACCTTTTGGGCACTGGGCTCTGCATTGTTGTACTTCCTGGAACCTTGTGTACTCTGTTAGCCTCACAGTTTTAGCACTGCTTCTGGCATGTCCCAGTCTCTGAACTGATGATATCTGCTAGGTGGAGTGTTGCACACCCCATGTGCTTTCTTCTGCCATTTAGTGGAAGCACCTTCCTGCTGCTGCTGCTGCTTCTGAAACATTTTGTGGATCATCTGGTCTTGCTTCTCTGCTCTTCAACAGTGGCAAGGTCGCCTCCAGCTGCCTGCAACCCTTATCACATTCAGCTGCTTGGGTTTGTGAGTATGCAAGGCCTTGCCTCACTTTGGGCCTAGTATTCCACTGTGTGTTTCAACATATCTTTTTAAAGACACACACACAGGACAGTCCTATTTCAATGGGTGACCTTGACCTATACTCCATTGCTTCTAGAGGGTGTTCTCTCGTTATCCCTTGAAGGAACCAGCACCTGTAACTTAGATGTAACTTTTATTAGATGATCAGTAAAATGACAATTTTATAGTCTTGCAACTTTCTGCTTCTTGCTCTTTAAATTCCTTACTCTCTTAAGTAAACAATCAGATATAGGTTGACAGAACAATGATGATAATTAAGATGGCGCCTTCATCCAGAGCCTCACCCTAGGTGACTCATTAGGAGAAAAGTATCTTTTAATGTAAACAACCCCCATAAAAGGGAATGAGTCGTTTTGGGGAAAATGATTGGAAGATATCAACACGGATGGAAGAACACGCAGAAACCCAGTGGACTTTTCACCCAATCAATGTATATGCTTTGCCTGCATCATAAGCCCTATAAATGATACTGTTCCTCAATAAAACAGAATTTTAGGAAGTTGACAAACTGCAACAGTGTCAGTGTCTTTCTTCCACGTGCACATAATTCTATATTAATTTGGCTCACTGGTAGATCACGGTAAATGGTCTGTAAGTGACCGAGTCCAAAACACTGGGACCCCTATTATTATGGGGTCAGCCCTGTCGGATGCTTGTATAGCTCCACAACATGATGCTGAGATCTCCCGTGTAAACAAGACACTTTATATATACTTTGGATTGTTTGTCAGTTTATGCAAAGTTAATGGAGCAATCTGTTTTTGCCAAGGTTTTAATCGTGCTCCAACAGCATCCATGGCCAAGTCAAATTCTGAAATACTGGGTTTTCAGTTTTAGGTGTGCTTTAGGCTTCATTTACCATGTCTGGTTCAGATTGTTTCAGCAAATTCCATAATATTTAGAATAAATAGTTATTAATCTGATTTGATGCAGTACGTTCTACCCTGCAATTGAAGCCTGTTGTTCCAGGCATCAGGTCTTTTAGAGCTCTTACAGCTTCAGACACACTTAGTATTTGAAACCTTCCTCTGTAACGACTGTAAATAACTATACAATATTGGATCCTTTCTGACAGTGTAAAGGTGTGATTTCCATTTGAAAGGGAATTTATTAAAAAGCATTCTCTAGTCCCTGGAGACAGCATACCTCCAAAATACTTTTGCAGATTTCACTTACTGACAATTGGACTTCCTACTTAGGTCTCTGAGTTATGTGGAGTGACTCTGTGTCCCCTGTTGGCAGTGATTCAAATTTGTGAATCCATGTCACTGTAAATCACCTATGAATCTCATTCCTTTAAGAGGACCTCTCCATCTCAAGGACAAAACCTAATGTTCTGATCCTCTTGTAGCAAGCATATGGAGCCCTGCACTTCAGCTATGATGGTCTTTTACAAGCATCCAAGCTTGGGTCTTGCATGGGTGTAATGTCTGTTTCCTATGTCTAGGGCGCTTCAGCTATACACCTATACATCTAGGACATCATGTATACGCACAAGGAACATTCAATTTACTTTTCCTTTAAAGGAACAGGAGATCTGTGGGTGAGAGAAGGGAACCCCATTCTTTTTCTAATACCTCAGCAGTAGCTCATAGGCAATCAGTCTACCTCCCCATCAAGCTGCAAGACCTTAAGGTCTGAACTCCCCAGTCTTATCTGTTCACCTCTGCATGAAAGTGTGCCCCACTTTTCAGATTGAGAACATCCTTATTTATCCTATTCAGTCTTTTTGCTAGTTTACCTCTTCACAGTTTAGATGCTTTAGATGAGTGTCCATTCTAGACCCTTGAGACAAAGGTTATTTGGGTTTCTGCATCCTGGGGTCTCTGTATCCTTCTCTAGTAGGGCCCTAAGTTTGGGCATGGTATCCCACTTGATCTGGCACTCCTCTCCTCAGGGAAGATGTTTTCCATCAGATGGTTGCATCCTTTTCAGTCCTTTTTTGCCTCAACCATATCTCTCTCCTGAGGAATCTCTTGACCTGCAAGGGATCAGTTCCTACTACTTCCTTTCCTAACTCTTCAGTGACCTCCCAGAGGTTCTGGATCTTTCTCATGGCAGTGACCTTTATGTCCACCCTATTGCCTTATCCTGGTATTCCAATTGTGTACCACTCAAGGGAACCTTCCCTGAAGGAAGTGGTTTCCTGAATTCTCACAATTTGAGTTAAACCAATGGTTCTATTGTGCACAATCTCTGGCGATCTTTGACCCTTTTCTTTATATGTGGTAGATATTTTGCATACATCTCTTTTGTGGCTTGTGGGATTGTTGGGGAATTTCAGTTTAACACGACCACACTTTTTGGGTGGTCACTAAATCTTTTTTTTTTTTTTTTCATTCTTTCCCTCTGAGCTGGTATAGAATTTGGGCAAGGCACCAAGCTGGTCTTTCAGACCAAGAAGTCCTGGAGTCTGTTTGCTAGACTCTGGCCAGGTGGGAATTATCCCTACCTCCCTCCTGGAAAGACTCTTCTAATGGATGTATCCTCTTGCCTACTCCTTCAGATACCCTTAGTAGTAGGAATGCAACATCTTTTGATCTCAGTGGCTATTGGTGGCACCTCAGTTGGACTGCATTGAACATCCCCAATGTATAAAAATTACTAAACTCCCATGTCCTTCAATGAATAAAGAAAATAAAATTTCTGAGCTTACTGTAACTTTTTTTTTTTCGTTTAAGTTCATTGAATGACACAGGTCTCGCCACTCTGTTACTTATGTGCTGCTTGTTCACAAATCTGTAGCAAGACATTTGGAGGCAGGGTTATACGGGGGCTGGCTTGATGATATTTGCTAGTGTCCCAACCTCCTGGTGGTGACAGTATAACCCAAGTGTCCAGCAAGTTCTAAATTTGTCCCACTCAATGGACTGCAAGAAAAAGATTTTATGGCAAGTGTACATCTTTTTGTCAGTAAGAAACACGTCTAGTTGCATTGTTTCTTGAAGTGTAGACATATTTCTAGGAAGTGTAAGCAAATAAGATGATGCAGATAGGAGCCTTGTTAAAAATATTTTTTCTGGGAAAAATGTTAAGGGGTTCATATTTTGAGTTGTCACATTGAGAAGCTGTTCATGTTTCATATACGTTTGTCTCTTGCTTATGTGAAGTTTTCATTTTTCTGTTAATGTAATGTTCGTAATGCGAAAACATGACGTGCCTAAATTAATGGTGATCTTTGTTATTTTTGAGTTGTATGCTAAGTTTAGTTCAATATATTTATAAACAAAGTAGGAAGCGTGGACAATTGTTTCTCTGGATTGAATGAACTTCCTACACAGAACAATGTTGTTTTTGTGTGAGCTGCAATTGGAACTTGGTGAATTTATACTTCCTAACTATAACAGTAGCCGTGAAGGGGAAAGCTTCTTGAATGTCTCTTCCCTCATGTTAAAATGCTTTGCTCATTAGTCACTATCCACATATAATTGCACCTGTCTTGTCATTTTCACTGACATGCATAGGAGAGAGAGCAGTCAGTTTGTCACTGAAATCCTTGAAAAAAAAAATCAAACACCAAACTCTTGGGCTGATACAACTGTAAGGTCCATATTTAACAGATTAATATTTCAATAGGAGGATTGACAGCATGTTTAAATTCAGTTGGGTATGCTTATAAATTATTAAATCTAAAGCAATGCAATTTATTTAGGTACAGAATATAATATAAGTATTTTTAAATATGTAATATAACTTAAAATACTTTTAAGTATGCTGTGTGAATGGGAACACACAACAAACATATCATTTTTCTTTATTCTTGTTAAATAGAATCTTTTATATGTAATTATTTAAACCTTGTTTAATGGGGCCTAAACTCATGTCTGCTGAGGAAGGAGCTTATAACTGCTTTAGGAGAAG